ATGATGTCTGTAGTCTACAGACAAGGAAGGAAACACCGTGGCTTTAATAATTATTAATCAAGCTTTTGAGGTTGACATTGGAGAACACGAAGGGATGAAGTCAAAGAAGTATTTCTTATTTATTTCACATGTAAAAGTTAGTATGCAGCAATCCTTGATCCCATAGTTCTTGCTGATGCTTTCTCCCACCCTTTGAAAAGAACTATTAAACCAGAAGAGACACAGAGGTACTATCTACAAAGAATCATTTTAAAGATATGCACAGCTGAGTTTTCCATAGATAATGTGGGCATTTCATAGCCTAATTTTGTTCTCACGTGCATCTCTCATACATTTTATTCCAACAGTTTTTGCAGAATATCTTCTTCATGCTGAGTATTATGTATCTGTATACATCGGTGTACACCGTTCTTTACAGAATATCATGTTCAAATAAGATTTACCGGTAGGTGCTTGCCTTAGCCTCAAGCAACAGTTGTGGAGGAGGGAGGATAGGGAGAATTGGTCATGATGGTGGTAGAGCAGCACTTGTAACAAATATGAACACAACAAGTTGCCTTATACTGAACAAGACAAATAGTCCATCTCGTTTAGTTCACCGTTTGAAACTCCGATATATAAGCCAGACCCCAAATGGTTGCTTAAACCAGGGTCACAGTTGCCAAAACAGAATGTCTAGTTGTCATTTTTGGACCAGATGGCTCAATAGTTGTATTTTTCAATATAACCTTTGGGTTCCTAACATTTGTTCTGATTGTGCAGATAAAATATAATGGATGGAATTACAGGATGTGTTGCTAGTGTGTGAAAGCAGTCAAGATCCAAGGATCTCCAGGCATGCACTTCCAGATGGTGGAGACTTCAGGCTCCATCCTGGTGCCTAGGCATCTTCACTTGGTCAGAACTGGCTGATAGCCATGTGCAAAATGTGTCTGGCACCTGGCGAATTTTGAACACTGGTTTAGTGTTTTCTACATTGACTGGCAGCATCTTTCCACCTACCTGGAGATGTCAGGGATTGAACCTCGGACCTTCTGTATGCAAAACAGATGCTCTACCACTGAGCTATGTCCCTTTCCCTAATGTGATTACAGTGGTGCCCTGCAAGACGAACGCCTCGCAAGACGGAAAACCCGCTAGACGAAAGGGTTTTCCGTTTTGGAGGCGCTTCGCAAAACGAATTTCCCTATGGGCTTCCTTCGCAAGACGAAAGCCCATAGGGAAATCTCTGGGACAGCGGGGAAGCGCAGCGCGTCTTCCCCACTGTCCTCGGACCTCCTCCGAAGCCGGGCGGCGGGGCGGGAACACCTCCTCCCGCCGCCCGGCTTCGGAAGGATGCTCCGAAGCCGGGCGGCGGGGCGGGAACACCTCCTCCCGCCGCCCGGCTTCGGAAGGCTGCTCCGAAGCCGGGCGGCGGGGCGGGTACACCTCCTCCCGCCGCCCGGCTTCGGAAGGATGCTCCGAAGCCGGGCGGCGGGGCGGGAACACCTCCTCCCGCCGCCCGGCTTCGGAAGGCTGCTCCGAAGCCGGGCGGCGGGGCGGGGACACCTCCTCCCGCCGCCCGGCTTCGGAAGGCTGCTCCGAAGCCGGGCGGCGGGGCGGGGACACCGCCTCCCGCCGCCCGGCTTCGGAAGGCTGCTCCGAAGCCGGGCGGCGGGGCGGGGACACCTCCTCCCGCCGCCCGGCTTCGGAAGGATGCTCCGAAGCCTGGCGGGGGGGGGGGGCGGAGAGGTTTTTTTAAAACCCAGGGACAGCGGGGGACTTCTCTGCTGTCCGGGGCGATTTTAAAATGCTGCCGGGCGGCAGCATTAAAAAAAACCCGGGACAGCGGGTTTAAAATCGCCCCGGGCGGCGTGTTTCTCCGCTGTCCCGGAGGGCTTTTGAAGGCAGGCGGGGGGAGCAAAGACTTTCGCCCCCCGCCCGCCTTCAGAAGAGGTCCTGAACCTCTTCTGAAGGCGGGCGGGGGGCGAAAGTCTTTGCTCCCCCCTGCCTGCCTTCCCAGGGGCTTTTAAATCGCCCCGGACAGCGGAGAAGTCCTCCGCTGTCCTGGGGCGATCTTAAAATGCTGGGGGTGGGAAGAAAAGCCCTTGTCCCCCCCCAGCCTTCAGAAGAGGTCGGGGGACAGACTGTCCCCGGACCTGGTCTGAAGTCGGTTTCCATAGGAACGCATTAATTGATTTTCAATGCATTCCTATGGGAAACCGTGCTTCGCAAGACGAAAAACTCGCAAGAAGAAAAAACTTGCGGAACGAATTAATTTCGTCTTGCGAGGCACCACTGTATAAATACAAGAACAAAAATTGTACTTAGTGGATCAGGTCAAGTAGTTCAGCATCCTATTTTCACAGTGGCCATCCAGATGCTTGTATGAAACCCACAAGCAGGACTCGAGTATAAAAGCACTCCCCCTCCTGTGGTTTACAGCAGTTGATATTCAGAAGCATAACTGCTTCTGACCATAGAAACAGAGTACTGTAAGCCTGCAACATAGATGGGGCTTATGTTCCTGGGATTGCACCGAAACCCAAAATTGCATGTAGTCAAAACACATTGGGTTCAATGGCAAGTGGAGGACCTGTTCCCTGCTTGAAAGGCCTTTTCCACTTGGCCTGGTAGGGCAGGTCCCTGACTAACTGCAGCTACAAAAATCTGAAAGAAACTCTTGCAGATGTGGCACTGTCTGTGCTGGACCATTGTCTTGCCTTGGTAATGGACTGGATGAGAGTCAACACACTCAAGCTCAGTCTTATAAGACTGAGGCACTGTTAGCAGGTGTTCTGCTAGATTGGATGGATGGGAGGTTGCCTGCTCTGGATGGGGTCGATCGGGGGTACTTCTGGATCCTTTGTTGTCTCTTGGGGTTCTGATGTCCTTGGTGGCATGGATTCCCTTCATCAGCTTTGGCTGGTGGCCCAGCTGTGCCCCTATATGTACAGGGATAGCCCAACTTCTGTTGTCTATGCTTTGGTAACCTCTAGGTTATATTACTGCAAATAATGTAGGGCTGCCCCTAAAGACAGTTTGGAAACTTCAGCTGGCACAGAATTTGGCAGCCAGGTTGCCCGCTGGGGCAAGATGATTAGAGCCTATTGCACCAATCCTGGCTTGACTGCACTGGTTGCTACCGTATTTTTCGCTCTATAAGACGCACCAGACCACAAGATGCACCTAGTTTTTGGAGGAGGAAAACAAGAAAAAAAATATTCTGAATCTCAGAAGCCAGAACAGCAAGAGGGATCGCTGCGCAGTGAAAGCAGCAATCCCTCTTGCTGTTCTGGCTTCTGGGATAGCTGCGCAGCCTGCATTTGCTGCATAAGACGCACACACATTTCCTCTTACTTTTTAGGAGGGAAAAAGTGAGTCTTATAGAGCAAAAATACGGTAATTATGTTCTGGGCCCAGTTCAAACTGCTGATTTTTACCTAAAACCCTTAAGCAACTCAGGACTGCAATACCTCAAGGGCTAAACGTAAAGGTAAAGGGACCCCTGACAGTTAAGTCCAGTCGCGAACTACTCTGGGGTTGCGGCACTCATCCCGCTTTACAGGCCGAGGGAGCCGGCGTTTGTCCACTCCGCAGACAGTTTTTCTGGGTCATGTGGCTAGCATGACTAAGCCGCAACTTTGTCTCTGGCATGACTCTGGCGCAATGGAACACTGGCACCAGAGCAACGCACGGAAACGCCGTTTACCTTCCCGCCGGAGTGGTACCTAATAATCTACTTGCACTTTTGGGCATGCTTTCGAACTGCTAGGTTGGCAGGAGCTGGAACCTCAACGGTAGCTCACAACCTTTTGATTGGCAAGCCCAAGACTCAGTGGTTTAGACGACAGCGCCACTCGAGTCCCTACCTAAAGGACTGTCTTTCCCCAAATGAACTGACCAAAGCCCTGCAATCATCATCTGATACCCTTCTTCACGTGTCTCCTCCACAAGTGTTCCAGAGTGTGGCAACATGAGAACGGGTGTTTTCTGCAATGGCTTCCCATTGGAATGCTCTCTTCAAGAATGCTCTCTTCAATAAAGTCTGTCAGCTTTATTATGCATCTTTAGGTGCCAGACAAAATATTCCTTTTCTACCAGGCCTTTGGATGATTAATATTCTACACCCTTTTAAATAAGGGAGGGGGGTTATTGGTTTGCTTTGCTTTTACTATGCATTTTGTGTTTTTATTTTGTATTTTTTTTAAATTTGCTGTGAACCGCCCTGAGATCTTCGGATGAATAAGGTCTCTCCCCCCCATGCCCACCTTTCTGCTCACTTTTTATTTATTATTTATTATTTTGCCAAGTGTTTAAAGCTGAATGTGCACAATTAAATGCACATAAGTTGTGGGCTTCACTATCCAAGTTTGTGGCTGTCACTGCCTCCTGCAGCAGTGAGTTCCATTGTATGTCCTTAGGATTCTCTTAAGTTTGGGAGAAAGATTAAGTGGCTAATCCAAATCCAAATGCTTCATGGAAGAAATTAGTTTTTCAGAGTTGGATGCCTTTTCTTAGGACAAATCAATTGCTGATGGAACAAGAGTTTGCTGGAGTTGCTTTGTTTGGTGGGTTACTGAGAGGGAACAGTGGCTCCTTTCCTCTCCAAGAGCATTGGACAGGCAAACTTCAGGCTTGCGGGATTTCCTTTGTTCTTTACTAGAGCACTGAAAATGCAAAATAGTGACTTGGCGGGAGAATATTTTTAGAATTAAGGAGAAGTGTGCCATATTACATTTCACAAAAGCCTCTCTTACCTACTTAATTTTTCTAAATACTGGTGGAAGGGAGTTCCTTTCTATCCCCAGAATTTGAAATGAGCAGAAGATGATTCCAATCTATATAGACTGTGGATGCTTGATTTTTCATCTATCTGTGCTTTAATTTCCAAAATAAAATTGCCTAACAATTCTACTTTTGCCATCGTTTAAGAACAGCACATTTCTTGCACATCTCTCAAATGTAAACTAGAAGACTGAGCCGTGGAAATGTCTTTTCTCCTCCTCTCTTTTTTTTAGATCTCTCCAAGAACAGATTTACTGAAATTCCTCCTGATGTGTTGCAGTTTTCACCACTTGAGACATTGAACCTCTATCACAACTGCATCAAATCAATCCCTGAAGCAATTAAAAATCTGCAAATGTTAACATATCTCAATATCAGGTAGGTAATATTTTCCTGCTTCCTAAATGTAGTTGCTTGTCATCCAAGGTAGCCTGTTTAGCTCATGACTGTATCAGCGTCCTCCTGTGGGTGACAGTTGACTGAAGAACCACTTTCCAGTCAATAAGTCAAAAGGTAGAGCATAAGGAAGTCTAACTTTGTTCCTGGTATTCCTTTTTTCAGATTGTGATGTTTGAGAGGCAAAGGTAAAAGTTTTAAATTTCAGTTTGAGCTTCTAGGAATGCTAAAAGAGGTTTGCTCATTCTGCATGCCTGTGAAAAACTTGCTGGACCAACTACAACACAGGAGAGATTGATGATGGGTTGTATCCAATGTTAGTCATACTTGGAGTAGCCACATGCCTCACTTAGGTCTATTAATTTCAGCAGGTCTACTCTGAGTAAAACTTAGTTGGATACAGGACAATGTTTTTTGAAATAACATTAGTGTTCTCTTTGTGTGTGTTCTGTTTGATTATTTTTGAGTTGGAGTATTGAGTGTTAGACACAAGTGTAGCGTGAAGAATGTACAACTTTCTCTCTTGCTGCATCCATGTCCATATACATGGCAAAATAGATACATACATGGTGGGTAATCCCCCCCCCCCATTGCAAAGACTAGCCCTTTAAGAAAAATGTATTTGAAGTAGCCTTTTGGCATTGTGAGTCTGACAGCTACTCCAGCTTTTAAAAAATAACATATTGTCATAACTTGCTTTTGTAAACTCTTTAATAAAACTGACTGTTGTCTGTAGTTAGCTTGTCAGCTGTGCTTTTAGTTTTTAACTTTGAGAGACAGAGGCTTTCCTGCTAATTTTGCATGTTAGCCTTGTGACTTATTTGAATTAGTCAGATTTAGAGAGCTCAGATGTTGCAGTAGGAGAACTGTCCTCTTGTTACCTGGTACCTTGTTCTACAACAGTTAGGTCCTAGCTTTAAAAATACAGTCATACCTCGGGTTGAAATTGCTTCAGGTTGAGCACTTTCGGGTTGCACGACCTGGAAGTAATGGAACATGTTATTTCCAGGTTTCGCTGCATGCGCAGACAGTCAAAATGATGTCACATGCATGCACGGAAGTGGCGAATCGCGACCTGCGCACACAGGTTGCGTTCACTTCTGGGTGCAAATGGGGCTTCGGAATGGATCCCATTTGTATCCAGAGGTACCACTGTAGAAGTGGCTGCAGAGGAGACCTACAAAAATGCTTAATTGGCATAAGAAGAGGAAAAGCTAAGAGGCCCCTGGGCATGAGAGGAGATTATAGGAAGCCACAACAGACCTCAGATTCATAAAAAAGAGATTGTGGAGGAGAGAGCAAAACGTTAAAGGGGACTAAATGACAAAAAGCTTTATATTTTGAGATTGCTAATAGGAATGGCTTTCTAACTGCTCAGATCCGGCCAGAAATGGACCATATTACTTAGGCAGCATATGTAATCTCCAGTTTTGAATGCATTTGACAAGGCAGAAAAGAACTTGTCAATTTGCAGTGGATATTGTCCTTTTAATTCTGACATTTCAGATATAGTTTACAGCAGTGGTGTCCAAACTTTTTTCAAAGAGGGCCAGATTTGATGAAGTGGAGGGCCGTGAGGGCCGACCAAAGTTGTTAACCTTTTTCTAGGATTGAAGTTGTTGAGTATTGTTAAAAGTGGCAACTAAGATTTCCTTTCTCATGTACCTGTGATCTGGTCTTGGATGCAGTGGGGCTCTTAAATGGTCCTTTATAGCTATACTTACTAAGGTCAAGCCTTGGCTCCTGAACGCCTCTGTTTTGGAACGTTTTGGCTCCCGAACGCCAAAAACCCAGAAGTAAATGCTCCCGTTTTCAAATGTTTTTCGGAAGCCAAAAGTCTGAAGCAGCTTCTGCTTGAGTGCAGGAAGCTCTTGCAACTACCGTATTTTTCGCACCATAGGGCGCACCGGACCATAGGGCGCACCCAGTTTTTAGGGGGGGAAATCAAGAAAAAAATCTTCCCCCCCCCAGCCCCAAAGAGCAGCGTACAGGGTGCGCACAACCTCTCCCTGCCGGAGGGGTTGCGAGCAGCTATGGAGCAAGCCAAGTTTTGGCTTCCCCTTTAGCCCCATGCAGCCTCTCCTTGCCGGGAGACGCTGCACAGGGCTAAAGAAGCCTTAGCCCCATGCAGCCTCTCCTTGCGGAGGGGTTGCGCGCAGCTATGGAAGAAGGCAAGGCAGCAAGCGGGATGGATCCCGCTCGCTGTTTTGCCTTCCCCTTTAGCCCCGCGCAGCCTCTCCTTGCGGAGGGGTTGCGCGCGGCTATGGAAGAAGGCAAGGCAGCAAGCGGGATGGATCCCGCTCGCTGTTTTGCCTTCCCCTTTAGCCCCGCGCAGCCTCTCCTTGCGGAGGGGTTGCGCGCGGCTATGGAAGAAGGCAAGGCAGCAAGCGGGATGGATCCCGCTCGCTGTTTTGCCTTCCCCTTTAGCCCCGCGCAGCCTCTCCTTGCGGAGGGGTTGCGCGTGGCTATGGAAGAAGGCAAGGTAGCGAGCTGGATGGATCCCGCTCGCTGTTTTGCCTTCCCCTTTAGCCCCGCGCAGCCTCTCCTTGCGGAGGGGTTGCGCGTGGCTATGGAAGAAGGCAAGGCAGCGAGCGGGATGGATCCCGCTCACTGTTTTGCCTTCTCCTTTAGCCCCGCGCAGCCTCTCCTTGCGGAGGGGTTGCGCGCGGCTATGGAAGAAGGCAAGGCAGCGAGCGGGATGGATCCCACTCGCTGTTTTGCCTTCCCCTTTAGCCCCGCGCAGCCTCTCCTTGCCGGGAGATGCTGCGCAGGGCTTTCCTGGCTTTTCTGGGAGGTGGGGGAATTCCCCCACCTCCCGCAAAACCGGCAGAAGCCGCGCGCACTTTAAAAGGGCTGCACGGCTTCTTCTGGCTTTCCTGGGAGGTGGGGGGATTCCCTCACCTCTCGCAAAAGCCCGCAGAAGCCGTGAGCTCTTTAAAGGGGCTGCGCGGCTTCTCCTGGCTTTTCTGGGAGGTGGGGGAATTCCCCCACCTCCCGCAAAACCGGCAGAAGCCGCGTGCACTTTAAAAGGGCTGCACGGCTTCTCCTGGCTTTCCTGGGAGGTGGGAGAAGGGACTGATGCGGCCAGTCAGTCCCTTCTCCCTCCTGTGGAAAAGCCCGCAAGAGCGCACGGAGCTTGTGTGCGGCTCTTGGGGGCTTTTCCCGCCTGCCTCCCCCCCTGCATTCGCTCCATAGGACGCACACACATTTTCCCTTGCTTTTTAGGAGGGAAAAAGTGCGTCCTATGGTGCGAAAAATACGGTAAGCCGTGCCTCGGTTGTCAAACATTTCAGAAGCCGAACAGGCTTCCGGAACAGATTACATTCAACAACCAAGGTTTGACCTGTATTCTTATTTTAAAATATATATTCTACAGTTGGAGGAACTTCCTTAAGAAAGCCTGTTACAATTATTCATATCACTCTGTATTCCTCCCTTTCAAAATCCCAAACCCCAGTTCCCTTTAAGGAAATAAAGCAAATGACTGAAGCATTCTGCCTTACTGTTGAGCTTTCAATATTTTGACCAACTCAGTGGGTCCCCTCTGGCTTTATAGAAAGTGAATTTTAATATCATGTAATGAACTGAAAAGAAAGTAGGAAAGTAGCAAGTTCTGTTCCAAACGAAGTTGCTAGCTTAGGTGTTTGAAGTCATCACATGAGAGGGATCTCCCTTTTACTTCCCCACCCCCAAATGAGGATAGATGCGAGAAATGCAACTACCAACTGCAACTTGATTTTGCAAAGGGTTTTTTCCTCCATTAATATATATGTGTGATGGAAACAGCAGTTCACACCATAAATAAGAAGAATGAAAAAGGTTAGAGAGACAATTAATAATTAAAAGATATATTGGAATATAGTGGATTCATGGAGACTGCACCATCCTAAGGAAAAATCCTATACATATTTTGCAATACCCAGCACAGAATTGATTTGATATTTTTTTTAAACATCAGCATCACTTCATTCCTTTACTAGCCGATGTGACATTGATATTCCCATTATAGCTGATCACTCAGCAGTAATATTGGAATATAATCTATTCAATACCCAGGAAGGTATGAGGAGATGGTATCTTAATATATCATTACTAAATGATAAAAACTTCATTCAATATATAATGTAAGAAACGCAAATATATTTTAAAAATAACTCCAAATCATTAACGTCAAGACTGATGGAATGGGAAGGTTACAAAGCTTATATCTGAGGGAAGATAATATCTTTCTCTGCCAACAAGGTCAAGATGCAAAGATTAAAAGAAAATAACCTAAAAATTCTTTAAAAACATTATGGGGCGATATGGCAAATAACCCATCTAGGGTTAAATATGAAAGAATACAACAACAAACACTAGAACTGAATAGTATACAGTGGTACCTCAGGTTAAGTATTTAATTCGTCCCAGAGGTCCGTACTTAATCTGAAACTGTTCTTAACCTGAAGCACCACTTTAGCTAATAGGGCCTCCTGCTGCCGCCGCGCCACTGGAGCACGATTTCTGTTCTCATCCTGAAGCAAAGTTCTTAACCCGAGGTAATATTTCTGGGTTAGCGGAGTCTGTAACCTGAAGCATATGTAACCTGAAGCGTATGTAACCCAAGGTACCACTGTACTAGCTCAAAAAATTGAGTTCAGCTTATTATGTCTAAGACAAACATATTGGGAACAGGGAGAAAGACAGACAAAAATTCTAGCTGTCTGTCTAAAACAGAAGAAAATGAACCAAATAATACCTTTAATAAGAAAGGAAAACAACATTGCAGCGACCTCATCAACAGATATAATTTGGGGGGGGGATGAACATAAATAAAAATAATAAGGATGACCCTTATCAGCATGAGAAATTAACAATATGGGCCAACCCAAAATTAAAAATTGGAAATCAAGTAATAATTTGGCAAAACTGGATGATAAAAGGTATTTTGACACTGAATCAATTAATTGATGAGAACTACAAATTTGTGGAATATAAGGCTTTGCAAGTAAAGTATGGACTAACTAGTGAAACACATTGGCAATATATCCAATTGAAACATATGTTGGAAAAGCAGTTTGGCCCTGATGCTATAGCTGCATTGGAAACATGCATGCCGTTACAGGATTTAATCTCTGCAACAAAAACAAAAAAATCCTACACTTGCACTATATAAAACTTTACTTAACAGGAAGAAATACGTTTTAGAATATGGAAGTCAAAAATGGTGTAAAGAGCTCAGAGTACAGATAACAAATGATATATGGGAGACAAGTATAAAATCAATAGAAAAAGCCTCTATGGATTTAAGACTTAGACTTATTCAACAGAAAATAGTATTTAGAGTCCACTGACTCCAACAAGATTATATCAGAAGAAATAACAAGTGCAGATAATTGCTGGGGATGTGGGAGTAAAAATGCGTACTTAATACATATGTTGATTAACTGCCCGATGATCAGACCATTCTGGAGTGAGGTGAGGATATTTATAGCAAAAGTAATAAAAAGAAATTGTTATTTAGGAGAACCGAATTTAATTCTAAATTATATTCCGGAAACTTGGAAGATCTCAAGGGGCCAAAAAAAGTGGTTGTATTGCATTATATTAGAAGCAAAAAAACTTGTTTTGATGAATTGGAAGAGTCGCAATAAGATTCCACTGAGCATACGGATTGATAATATGGACAGATTAGCTACATACAAAAGAATTGCTTGTTGATGCAAAATAAGAATGGATAAATATGAAGAGATTTGGAACAAATATCTAAGTGACAAGGCGGATAACAGTGGGAAATAGAGGGGGGAGAGAGTGGTGATAAACAAGGAGTAGGCACAGGGATATTGCTGTATCTAAATTTGTGTTGTCAATTTGTGTTATTATTGTTATTAATTGTTTTTCTTGTATGTGTCTTTTTAGTTTTGTGTTTGTACTGATTGGAAAAAGAGAATAAAAAAAACACACCACTTTACTATCAATGAGATTCTCACTAAAGTAACAATTTTGAGCAAATATTCATGCTGGTTTTAAGTGGCTTGTAGATCTCTGTATCTGAATGGTGATAGCTGCCAGACATAACCATATATTTTCTCTAATCTCTTTAGTCGAAATCTTTTATCAACATTGCCAAAATACTTGTTTGATCTGCCGCTTAAAGTTTTGGTTGTCAGCAATAATAAACTTGTGTCCATTCCCGAAGAAATTGGAAAATTGAGAGATATAATGGAATTGGTGAGTGTCATGGTATAGTTTCTCTCTTTGTTGAATCTTTATAGTTAATTCTTTGTTTGGGCCAATCCTCAATTAGTAGTAAGCCCTACCACAGTGAGTGGCAAATTTAAATTAATCCATTCGTACTTGAATATCCCAGAGCAATCCTTTTGTTTGAATAGAAGTGCAATGAGTTTTCCTTCAACTTTATTTTAAACAAATGGTGCTATATGTAGCTTGAAACAAAAATATGAATTATATCTTTTGTGACTGAAATGCTATCTGGATCCTGCAATTTACTATATTGGCCCGAATATAAGCCACACCCGAATATAAAATGCACCTTTAAAATTCAAGGGGGAAAAAAGAAGACAATACCACTCCCTTAAAATTCCACAGGCACTCACACCTGTTCCGTTTTACTGCATGTCTGTTTCAGCAGCGATATCGTAAAAGCCAATTTTTGTAAGGTCACAAATTTAAGCTGCAGTTTAACTTTTCGTGGTCAGAATTTGGAAAAAAAAGTGAGGCTTATTTTCAGGCCAATATGGTACTTCTAGGATGGAATAAATAGTGAAAAATCTAATGGATTAATTTTTATGCAACTGCTCAAGTCCTCCTTTTAAAGATGCATTAGTAGATTTCATTCTATAAAAAGACTTACCTTATTTAAGGAATAGAACTTTTTCATTTGATATCCCACTCATTTGATATTTCTTAAAAGATGGAAATCATCTGAACTCTGAAGCTCTTGCTACTTGTCAATAATCTACAATCTCCTTGTCATCAAGATTCAAAAGGAATATTGTAAATAAAGATTTCCCCCAGCCCCATATATATGACTGTTCCTAGTCATCTTATCTTCACTTTCCCACAGTGTCAGTGTAATGCCATGTAAGCAGAATTACATGGTATAGTTCTACCAGTTTTTATAATTTTAGCAATTTATCTGTGTTTATAATTGTAAAATATATTACTCTAACACCCCCCCCCGGTAGGGGACACATGTGGCACTGTGGTTTAAACCATTGAGCCTAGGGCTTGTGGATTGGAAGGTTGGTGGTTCAAATCCCCACGATGGGTTGAGCTCCTATTGCTCCCGTTGAGGTCCCAACTCATGCCAACCTAGCAGTTTGAAAGCATGCCCAAAAGTGCAAGTAGATTAATAGGTACCGCTCCGGCGGGAAGGTAAACGGTGTTTCCGTGCTTTGCTCTGGTGCCAGTGTTCCATTGCGCCAGAGTCATGCCAGAGACAAAGTTGCGACTTAGTCATGCTAGCCACATGACCCAGAAAAACTGTCTGCGGAGTGGACAAACGCCGGCTCCCTCGGCCTGTAAAGCGGGATGAGTGCCGCAACCCCAGAGTAGTTCGCGACTGGACTTAACTGTCAGGGGTCCCTTTACCTTTACGTTTAGCCCTTGAGGTATTGTAGTCCTGAGTTGCTTAAGGGTTTTAGGTAAAAATCAGCACTTTGAACTGGGCCCAGAACATAATTAGCAACCAGTGCAGTCAAGCCAGGATTGGTGCAATAGGCTCTAATCATCTTGCCCCAGCGGGCAACCTGGCTGCCAAATTCTGTGCCAGCTGAAGTTTCCAAACTGTCTTTAGGGGCAGCCCTACATTATTTGGAGCAATATAACCTAGAGGTTACCAAAGCATAGACAACAGAAGTTGGGCTATCCCTGTACATATAGGGGCACAGCTGGGCCACCAGCCAAAGCTGATGAAGGGAATCCATGCCACCAAGGACATCAGAACCCCAAGAGACAACAAAGGATCCAGAAGTACCCCCGATCGACCCCATCCAGAGCAGGCAACCTCCCATCCATCCAATCTAGCAGAACACCTGCTAACAGTGCCTCAGTCTTATAAGACTGAGCTTGAGTGTGTTGACTCTCATCCAGTCCATTACCAAGGCAAGACAATGGTCCAGCACAGACAGTGCCACATCTGCAAGAGTTTCTTTCAGTTTTTTGTAGCTGCAGTTAGTCAGGGACAAACGTTGGCTCCCTCGGCCAGTAAAGCGAGCTGAGCACTGCAAACCCAGAGTCGTTCGTGACTGGACTTAATTGTCAGGGGTGCTTTACCTTTTTTTAAACCTATCCTGGTACTTTATGCTGAAGGGTGGCTAAAAATTTAAATTTAAAAAAATCTATTTGAGTATTTAAGATTAAAAAATATGCCTTGCATAAAAGCAAAATTCCTCTGTTCTTAGGATATCTCCCTTTTTCATTTCTATTGCAAAATTCAAGAATGCTGTAACCAAAATGGAAGCACATGCATTCCTTAAAACCTACTCATTTGCTTTAGCCAGCTTCTTCAATGTATGCTTTTGAAATTTCAGTCACTATTTGACATTCTGACTCATTGTTTCTTAATGTAGGATATTAGCTGTAATGAGATCCAAGTCCTTCCCCAGCAAATTGGAAAGCTGCAGTCATTACGAGAATTAAATTTAAGAAGAAATAATATTCATATACTACCTGATGGTAAGCTTCTATTCCCTTCCAGCCTCTTTGTTAATTCATTTAAACAAAATCAATATTTTTGCTGTATGAGCTTCTGATTTTTTTCCCTTTCCCACCAATAGAATTAGGAGACCTTCCCTTGGTCAAGCTGGACTTCTCATGTAATAAAATCACAGAAATACCTGTGTGTTTCAGGAAGCTACATCGCTTGCAAGTCATAATTTTGGACAATAATCCAATGCAGATACCACCAGCACAGGTTCAATTAAAACATTCTTTTCTCATTTTTAAAGTAGAAACAATTCTTTATGTGAGATACTTATTCATCTAGCTGCCCATGGAGTAAGGTGCTTCTTGACCAAAATCCATTTGTGGAAGCACTTTTTCTTCTTGATCACTTTTCAGTGTTGGTTTTAATATGCCTGGGGGAAAGTGGCCAGAAGTGGGGCATGCCTTTGTAATAATCAACTGGTCATATTCTGAGATGAGTTTCACTCTTCTCAAATAAGATGCAGGGGAAATAATATTTAAAACCAGTCCACTGTTGTTGCACTTTAATGTTTTCACCATGCTCTTTACCAACAAAATCTTACTAAGTTGGGGAAAGGTGAGCAGCAATACCTGCCACTGAACTTGATGGATGTGTTTGGTCCTGTTTAATCTGCCCAGTTATCTGTACTACAAGGGTACAGATGGGAATGTGCTGTGCTGTGTTATGCATACTGTATGGGGGGAGGATTGGAGGTAATCAATAAAAACAGTGCTAAGGTTTCTGTAAATGCTCCCATCTGACTAAATGAATGCATTCTCCATCTGCTTCTTAACAGATATGTTTAAAGGGCAAAGTACACATATTTAAATTCCTCAGCATTCAGGCATGCCTCAGAATAGATAAAAAGCCGGATTCATTGGATCTTCCATCCTTGGGTAAAAGAATACCTTCCCAGCCGCTCACGGACAGGTAAACTTGCATTCCCCTTTTCAGAATGTGTAAAATGAGCATTTATCAAACTTGAAGGAGAAATGCTCTGAGTTTGCTTTATTGCAATAATTTCAGTACTTCTGAAGTAAAAGTTGTTGTAGCCTTTAGGATGCTATCTTTCCCATTACTATTTTTGTGCAGATTCTTTCCCATCTCAGTAGGGTGTGTTCTCACAGTGAGTTTGTTCTCTGAGTAATCTAAGCATTATAGCAATTAACTGTTGAATTAAATTGTTACCACTTGTGCAGAATCTTCCATAAAGAATGCCATATATTTAAAGGTATTTTCAGCTCATCCCTCATGATTAAAAACAAAAGTTCCAATATTCTCCTCAAAGCTGTACCAAAGGAGGGGCAGGGAGCAAGGAATTACTCATGAAAAGTGTTGCATTTCCTGTGGCTACACAGGTCTATATGTAATGTGAAAGTTGCTTTCTTCTACTTGTACTAGAAATTGATCAGTTTTACTGAAAGGGAAGTCTGCCACCTACTGTCAAACAATTACATTATTTTCCTGGAGTGGAAAATCCTTCTCAGTTAATGTCAGAAGTACAACATAGTTTATCAAGTCTAAACTCACATAACTTTCAGAACATATTTCCATAAGTTCACTTATCGTTGGCTATAAATTAATAATGTTTATTATTTTGCTTCTGTTCATTTTTTTCTCCTGTATTTGCGGGTTCCGAATGATCCGGTCTTGCTTCACTGGTGAAGCTGCCCAGTGAAGCTAAGCTGGTTTCGCTGGGCGGCTTCCTCCCAGTGCGGAGCGGAGCCCGCCTCCCACTGCTACTGCCAAGCTAAGCTGCCGCAGCTGCCGCCGCCACACCAGTAGGTGGTGGGCTCCACGCTGGGAGAAGCCGCCCAGCAAAGCTGGCTTAGCATCACTGGGCAGCTTTGCCGTGCAGCTTCATCCCAGTGCGGAGTCCACTGCTGCTGCCCAGTGAACCCATACCTGGCGCATAAGATGATCCCTGACTTTTTAGAGGTTAAAAAGTTGTCTTGTACGGAATCTATGGTAATAAGCACATTTGCATAATTACCATTGGCACCTAAAATTGCCTCTAGACAACTAGAACTTTCTCCAGACTTGCATCTGGTTTACTGGGGCAGCATTAGCATTATTAAATAGAGGTCCTAGTGAGCATTTCATGTGTTAGCCCAGCCTTTCATAACCTGATGCCCTCCAGATATTTTGGACGACAACTCCCATCAGGCCGAGTCAGCATGGGAGTATCAAAACATCAGGGGCACACTGAGTTGGCAGAAGCTGTTCTTGCCAGCAGGGAAAAAGCCTGTAGGCCTGTCTTTCAAAGGCAGTTCACACCTCACAAGCAGAGACCTGATCCTTTCTTGCCAGTTGTGAATGTTCTGAAAATATTCAGTAACTAACAAATGTATACATAACCATTCTCCATAGACAGGATGAGCTGTTAAAGGATGAGCAGTTTTCCTCTGTTGTGTTGCATTCCATTCAACATATATTCTGGTTTCTTTTTCTTTTGTTTTTGTATGTTGACTTTGTAAAATTAAGCTTGGAATTGTTACAGGAGCCATTTGCCCCAGTCTTTTCTCTAACTGTGCATATGTGTACTAGTTCAGATCGCAGTACAAAAAAATAACCTTTATGTGATTGCAGAAACACATTAGGGTACCTTTTCCTGCTAAGCTCAATCCCTTGTCCATCTTTCTATAATAAATAAAAATTTCAATAATCCTAGGAAGATGACTTCTGCACATGTTTACTAACCTCTCTTCCTAACATGAACTATTTATATAGTACCGTTTATGTATATGGAGGTTTATGAAGAAGAGATATATAAGATTCTTTTTCCAAAGGGATTCTAATATGAAATAAACACAAGGAAACAGCAGAGAAAGGGGTGGGAATGTAGGGAATAAGTGATGCATGTATTTGGTTACAGTAAAATAAGGAGTAGGTGGGGCAATGAGTATTTTCTGGGGTCAGTGTTGTGATTTGGTATGGAAAACTCTGGGATAAAAGCACAGGACTTGTAACCACAAATAACAGGGAGAAGTGGCCATCCAGCCTGCCTGACACAGCTCTAGTGTTGACATTTTGCAGGATTATCAGACAATATAGTCAGTCCCTTTTGACTTTTTATGATCTGTGATTGTCCAATTGCATCTCAGTGGGACACACTTTTTTAATACCAAGAACCTCTGTAAATAATCCACCTTCAAAAGAGCATCTTGCTCTACAAGAAGTGGCTGTTCATCACTCAGAGAACCAGAACCTGCGTCTTAGTATTTGTCACAATTAAGGTACTTGTTCTTTTATTACAGTATGGAAGATTTTTATCCAAATAAAAACCACGGCCCAGACTCTGGCATTGGCAGCGATAATGGGGATAAAAGGTTATCCACAACAGAAGTAAGCCTGTCCTTTCTAAACTACTCAAAGGAAAGAGGTAGCAGGGGCAGTGGGTTTCTCTAACATCTCTTCTGACTGCTTTCCATTGTCTCCGAATTCTTAGTTTGGCTAAATCTCCATCCATTTGATTTCAATAAACTCCAGTTTAAAAATGACTGTAAAGTACAATAAGATAGCTTGCCTGCTTTGTTATATACTTTATCCTTAACAGCAGTGTTTTGAAGCATTACCCATGCCAGCACTGCACCCCATAGTCACCTTTGACTGGACTTAACTGTCCATGCGACGTTTACCTTACCATCCAGTAAACAATCCCTCAACATTAAATCCGTATCTTACCAGCTTCATGGTGGTAAAATGAAATAACCCTGAAGGATTCCTCTCTCTCTCTCTTTTTTTTTTGTCTTGAGCAAACAGAACTTGAACTTGTGTACTTTTGACATTCATTGAGCTGGGATAGCTCTGTTGGTAGAGCACGAGATTCTTAATCTCAGGGTCATGGTCAAAAGATGCTTTGCAGGGGTTTGGACTACATGACCCTCATGGTCCTTTCCAATTCTACAATTTTATGATTCTAGGTCATTTTAAGTAGCTCGTTTAAAACTTGACATCTGTTGGATACCTCATTAAATGGAAAATATGTCTTCTCCTGTCTCAGTGAGTAGGAATGCTCTACGTACAGGCCTGTCCTCCAGCAGTGTGCCACAGTGGCCTCTGCTGCTGCTGGTGGGAAGCTGATTTTCTGATTCAAAGTTTATCAGAACAACAAGTGGAATATGCAGGTTATGCTCTTAACTGCTCTTTTCAGCCATCCGATGATGACACAATCAGCCTTCACTCTCAGGTATCGGAATCGACAAGGGAGCAGACACTCAGAAACGACAATCAGTTACTAGGAAATAAACCTGAACTGCATAAAGGTGAGTTCCAATTTCTGGTTCTCAGGAATGTCTTCTTTGTACTCACAGTTCTTCTGCTTTGGTTGTAACACTGCATTACTGATTACAGGCCTCAAAGAACATTGGGCACATGTACTTCCCCTTCTCTTTCTCTACCTCAGCCGTGAGGATACAATTGATAGCATACCGATTTACACTAACTGGAAAGCCTTGTCAGTTTAAATTATGGTGGTTTGAAAGAAGCCTGGATAATCAGCTATGGTTTAACCCTGGCTTGTTTCAATAAATTGTTGTTTAAGCTGAGGGTGGGGAACTTATCCTCCATCTGATAGCCACTTTTCCTTATGAGTAATCTTCAGGTGGCAGTGGTGGCACTTGCCAGTGGTGGGAATGGCAAGAGGCAAAATGGGTCAAGCAATAGATATGCACTGTAGATATGCACTCTCTAGCCACATTTAAAAGCTGGAGGTTTCTGCATGCCTCCATCTTCCATCCAGGCAAGCAAGGGGCATTCTCATAGTTCAAGGACCCATTGAAGCCAGAAAGAAAGCATTTGAGGATGTTGTAGAGCAGTGTTGAAGGCCAGATAAAGAGCCCTGGGAGGGCCACATTTGACCACCCTCTGGCCTGAAGTTCCCCAACAGTGTTTTACACTAACACTGTTTAAAAATAAGCAAGTGCTTTCAATCTCCTTGCAGTGGCTCTCTTTGACCTTGCAAGGGTTTGGCCTTGAGGATTAGCCCTTTGTTATGAGAACCACAAGTTTGACAGCCATAGGAGGACACGTGAAAGAATGGAATGTGTCCTTCCTGAAGCCTTATGCATTTTTGATGAAATAAATAAGATCACCCCACTCCCACAAAAAAGAGAAATAATTCTCACCTATGTTGGTATTGTCTTTTTTTAAAGGAGAGAATAAAAATAGAAAATCAAAACCTTTGTTAAATTGCCTTCTTATTGCTGCACATCTACCAATCGCCCAGAGAGGGAAAACATTGTCCGAAATTAACACCTCATTATGGTGAATTAATATATGGAAAATTGCATTACATGAAAACCGGTATACTCGTTCTAAAAAAGAAAAGATAACCACTTTTGTCTTAGTTTGGTGTGATTTTATTGAATATATAAAAAAAGAAAATTTACATCTCTCTTTTCCACAAGTCCCTCAAGAAATCTGGGATAAGTAACATCTAATTGGTTGACAAATTTCCTTCATGGAATATAGGGCCTTTTATTTTTTGTACTCCTTGTGCCTCTGATGGTTTCAGTTACAGATTTATGTTTCTGTATTTTGTAAGTCATGTGCACCACACTTCCTCTCTTCCTTATAATGGTACTTTCCACTTACTTGTCTCTGTTTTATAATAAATATGTAGATAACCAGCTTTATCATATTTTCCTGTGAATGTAATATGCCATGCCAGCCTTGGTTTGGTTTGGTTTAGTTTTTATATGTTCGTCTCAGGGAGTTCTGTTTTGTTATTTGGGCTATACATCTATCTGTATAAAATAAATCTCCCTTTCCCCCCCCCCCTTGCTTCGTCATCATCCCTGATGACCAGACCCAGAAGTGTGTGATTACCTTGACCCCAGCTCAGAGGATGTGGCTTCCTGTGATCAAGGAGATGTGCAAACTGGGCCATCGATCTCGTATATTAAGGTAGCATCTTAAAGAATAACTTGGATATTAGCAACCCGCTTTACATATTGTGAAGTTCAGTAATGTGATCCCTGCACACTTTCTTTTCTCTCCTTTCCCTCCCACCCCTGTGTGCATGTTAGGAACGAGCAAAGCAGACTGAAAAGTCTCAGAAAACAGAAGAAAATGAAAACTGGGGAGATGAGAAGAGGTATTTTCCCTAGCAGTACTAACTGGGCATTCTAACTAGTATTGATGATTATGATGATTTATTGCCTGCCCTTCATCTTAAGGTCCCAGAGCAGATTATAACAATAAAAACCCAACTTCAGTATTAAAACACAATACCGCACAATATTAAAACCAGATTAAAACAATTTAAAATTATACAAATCAGGTGGGTACTAAAAAATACCTAGAATGGGAAATATGTTGGAGGAGGGAATCTTAGGTTTTTCCTGCTGTTTCTCTGGCATTCTGATTTAAAACAGAAATGTTTGTGGTGTTTTTTAGGGTTCAGAAGGATCAGGTATTGGCAGAGGAAGATGATGAACTGAAGGAAGTGACTGACCTAAGGAAAATAGCTGCCCAGCTGCTGCAACAAGAACAGAAGAACAGGTATTTAGCCTTTGGATCACAATAGTAGGTGAACTCTATATGCAAGTCCCCTGGCTGCATTTTGTGTTAAAGGCTTGTGGAGTTTTAAAATTTGGCAAATGACACAGAAGCGTAACCAAGAAATCAATCAAACTCTGGTCCTGCTTCCTAGACACATCTGGTTGCCCACTGAGAACGGTGGACTCAAAAGGCATTTGGCCTAATCCAGCAACCAGACTCTTCTAATATTCAGATATTTGAGATTTAGTGTTGATAAACATGAACAAACTTTATTGCTTCTCTGCAGCTAACATTTGAGTGCAATTTGTCCACTTTAAAACTGGTAAGTGCAAAACTGCGAATGATTGAAATGAACTGAGTTTAGCAACCTGACTGAGCGTAAACTAAGATTACTCAAAATTCTCTGATTCTTACCTTGTCAAAAAGAAAAAAGGGAAAAAAGAGTAACACAAAGCTCAACCATTAAGCATTTTGTCTTTTAAACCCTGTTAAAGCTCTACCTCCTTCTACTTTCTGCTCACTATACTAATGACGTCCCTGTCCTCTCCTGTCAACCTTTACTCCTTCCTTCTTCCATCTTTGGGTTTTGATGTACATGAAATACGAATTCAGACGGAGACCATTAAGCTATAGAACTTCATTCAGTGAAAAGCTCTTCCAGAGGACAAGGGTCGCAGGACGCGCATCAAGGTATTTTGTTTTTATGGCACATGAATTTCAGCTGACAACACAAGGGACAAACAGACAATTCCTGCATTGCAGGGGCTTGGACTAGATGACCCCTTGGGTCCCTTCCAATTCTATGATTCTATGAAAACATTTTTTGGTGTGCTGCTAAAGATGTGAAGACTTAAAGGAGTAAGAATCCTTACCCCAAACTGGGGAGCTATAGCATAGGGCAGGATACAGATCCGAGCTGGAGTGGGCTCTAAAAGTACCAGCTCCATCAATAGAATTGCTTGATTATCGTTATTTGCTTGTGTTTTTTAAAATAATAATAATTGTGCTGCCCTTTATCAGAATCAATTTCAGAGCATTTCATGTGCAACAGTTTAAAAATAGAGGCAAGAATTGTATTATTCCATTATGACTCACATAAAAACAAAATTCCAAGCATATTGGAATTTTAATAATACAAATACTTTTTGAGGATGGAAGTGATGAAACTTTACACAGGGGAGCGATTTTTAAAGGTGTTGTTCTTTTCTTCATGGGGCAACTTATATTTTTGGTTATGGGTAGTGTGCCTGCAAGTCTTCCCAATGGTTAGAAGTCTGACTGTGGAAATGCTTCTGCCTGTGTCCAATATTCAGGCATGCTCTGTACATCTGACTCAGAAATAGATGGGGGTGCTCTGGGTCTCACTAGATCAAGAGCGTGGCTATTGTACCTCTCTTCAAATAACTTCTCTGTGATGAAATACTACATATCTTTTCTCAGCTTTTTTTCTATCATGTTTCCTTTTCTGAATCTTTCTTCCCCATTGTCAGTGTTTCATCTAGTCAAATATTGTCTGTTCTGTACTATCTTCCTCACTAAGTCACCAGTCAGACTGAATGTTTCTCAGTGATTCTCATAGTCACCTTCTTTGATCATGTAACCCAAAAACAACAGGCTTCAAATTAGTTAAGAACAATAAAAATGGTGTTGAAGTAACATATTTTTCCTCTGACTATTAGCATGTAGAGATATCTGGACTCTAAACTTTTGCTCAAATTCTCAGAGCTGGACTGTAAATATTCAAATGCATTTTAAACTACACAATTTCAGCATGAAATTTTTGTGGTTTCAAGTGCACATTTGTGTGTTTGATTTTAGACTTCTGAATCACTCCACGTCAGCAAGTACAAGAAATAGACCAAAACAGACCATGGAATCAGAAAAAAGGTATCAATTGTGCTTTTCTTAGTAGTAAAATACTTTGGGTGAACCCTGTGGTGGTGGTGGTGGTGGGGTGGTGGTTGAATAAAGGCTGCTTGAGAAGTGCCTAATTCTTTCTCAAAAGTTCCACATTACCTTCAGATAGCAGAAATTGATTCTAGAATATATCACTGTGCAAGGGTGCTCTTCATAACTGTTGGTTTTGAGGTGTTTCAGAATTAAACAGCCTACAAAGCTTTACATAGATTTCAAGAGTGTTTTAAGGGCAGAGATAAAGGCACAAGTGTGCTTTAAAAAATGGATCTTTGAAATGCACGCAGACAGCTTTCCCTAGATACCATGTTGATTTATTGCACAGCACTGTTTGCAGTAAGCAGCGTTAACAGTTGTAAATTCCTGATCTCTTAATGTATTTAAACAACTGTCCAGAAAGCCTTTTTTTAAACTTCTGAGTACTTGAGAAAACAATTTGTTCTGGTGTTAAGTTTTCAAAGATATGTAGCAGAGCTGATTAATCATTAAAATTAACACTTCAGTATTGTGACAAGAATACACTTCCACAAGATAGACGTCCAAAAGACAAGTCATGATATGAAACAACGCTGTTTAAATTCTTTCTATGTTACCTGAGTTCCTTAATGGAGACTCTCATTGAGTATAGTTATTATAAGATTTCTGAGCTGTGAACAGTAAGAACATGGCGATTTTCTAGATTGGTTTATTCCTTAGTAAACAAGCTTTCTGAGTGTGATTACCCACATCTACATCGCCCATAAGGATGATTTCCCTCCCTCCCCTTTTAAAAATATATGTCTAGGTCATTTTGATACAAGACTCTTTTTTGCTGATATGTATATAATTGTAAGTTGCTTGACTTGGCTCAGTGTAAAAGATGAAAAAATCCATTCTAACAAACTATGTGTGTGTTTTCATTTAGCCTTTCAGCAGATGAAGCAAATTCTCCATCATCCCCATACAGTTGGCAGGTAATGCAGAGATACATAAGCATCCAAAATACTGTCTGTGCAGCTGTGATAGTTTTGCTCCTACTTTCTTGACTGGCTTGATTTCATGGCCATGGTCATGTATGGTGGTAAACTAGCCAAATGTACTATACAGATTCTGGAGGGTAGTTGACAGTTCTAGCCATTGGCACAAATGTAACAAAAATAGAATACAAAAAGATTGTTTTCTCCCAGAAGTGCTGATCTTTAAATTATTGCACTTTTAAACTGCTTTCTCCAGGTGAAAGCCTTTTGATAAACTGCCTTGACAAATGTATCAGGCCATTTCTCCCCATTAATGGAGAACTTTCTCTTCCATGGTGTAGTGAAACAGACGCATGAGGAATTGCTGCTATTATTATTATTATTACCATCACCATTATCAACCCACACTTTACCTTAAGGTCCCAGGGCAGGAGGTGATAATGATGATGATGATGATGATGATGATGATGATGATGATGATGATAATAATAATAATAATAATTTATTTGTACCCTGTCCATGTGACTGGGTTGCCCCAGCCACTCTGGGTGGCTTCCAGCATATACACTAGTAGCCAAAATTGTGTCAAAACAAGATGACACCTGATTGGGACTCTAAACACTCCTTTTTCTGGTTATTTGGCTATAAATTTTAATAGAATACAGGGTAAAGAAGTGCAACTTCAGCATTCCTCAGAAACTGTATAATGAAGGTGTCAGACACACCTCTGCTGGGAAGGAGCTTTGCAGTTTAGGGGACATCACAGATAATGCCCTTTCCTGGACCTAACCATGCCTCTGAGGGCATAGGAACCCTTTTGCTGATCTTGGCACCCAGGAGAGTGTGGGGAAGGAAGCAGTCTTTCAGATACTTGAGGCATGAGTCATACACATGAATGGCTTGCTTATTCCAGAAACATGGAAGTTCATAACTACATGCGGCAACCTAGTTGGCATTTTTTAGCCATGAGGAGATAGAAAGCTTTCACACATGTGTTCAGCTAACCACAATTTAGCATAATCCTCATAGCATAATGTGGTTAATCTTATGACCATTTATCACTTCTCAGCCTTCTGGCTAAGATCCAAGTGTAGCGGTTTATTGAAACAAGCCAGCTTCATGAACCATAATTTGAAACTGGCTTGTTTGAGTATCCCACAGTTTAATCACAGTTTGTCCATATTCAAATATAATGCTAAACTCTGGTTACTTAAAAATGGAAGCAGAATGGCCACATCAAAAGAGTTGATAGGTAATGGAATATGTTAACCTCAGGGTCACTCAGGTTCATTCATGTAATACAAAATTTTAGTATAAAGCATAGTTTAGTGCTGTACCTGAATGAGGTAGCTGTGTGCATCAGTCTTCGGGTATTTTTCACTACATTCTCTTGTATGTCCTCTACCCAACTGCAAGGCTACTTAAATGGAAACATAATGACAATAATTTAGACTAAATGGGAAAATTAGTGGCCACTGTAATATTTTAATAGTCATTTTCTTACTCTACCCTTCTACTTTCCTCTCAGTAACTTTTTACACACTGTAAACAAAAAAGTTGGTACCAAATGTAATTCAGTTTCTTGACTGGAAGTAGAAACATCTTCATTGTTCTGATCAGCAAGTTTACAATGCCCTAAGTAAGAAGTAATGAGGGGTGAATCTAGCTGTGCAGCCAGTAAACTCTTCTCTGAGTTTGTTTAGGACAGGAGTGGGGATCCTCGAGATCAGGGACCATATGTGACCCTCCAAGCCTGTGTAGGAACCTCTGACTTTTGCATGACTGACCTGTAGCCTATTATGCATCTGTTGCCCCAAACCCAACTGGCACTTAGCCACTTGAAGGCGGCCCATGAAAAAATGTGACCTTTGACTGTGAAAAAGGTTCCACATCCCTGGTGTGGGGAGCCCCTACTTATTTTTTCATTGGGGGTGGTTCCAGCAGACCACTCTGAGGACCAGGATATACATAATTTCATCTGAACTGCTTGCTGGAAGGTCAGAGTGGAATTTCTTGTCTTACGAAGCTACTTATTTCTCCCATCAGTCACTGGAGGATCGGAAGGACCACCCAGATGAGCAACACTGGCCGGACATGCAGCCAGTTATCTGGCAAAATGAGGAGAGGAGGCGGAGCAAGCAAATCAGAAAAGAATATTTCAAGGTATGTTGTTCCTTTATGGTGGCAAATTTGATGCTTAATCTTATTAGCGGCCTGAGTATCTCTACAAAAATTAAGATTTATTATATAAAAAAAGGAAAGCCTGGCCATACCTTTTGGCAAGGGACAACTGAAATAGAATTTCCCCCCTCAACAGCATTTTGTTGTTGAATGACAGCTCAAGGTGTCAAATACTAATTGGTTTTGTGCATTATTTCATGTTGCATGTTTAGCCTGTGAGGGTTGCTTTACCGTGAACTAGTGTTTTCCTAGCTTTTCTGTTTTAAGTCAGTAAGCATTTGGAGGATATACAAGGAAAATATCTGTTGTGTCTAGCTGTACTTGCAGATTGAGGTCAAAAGCCTAGATCCACTGAGACCCTTGATTTCTTTACTGAATAAAATGAAAATAAAGAGCAATTTTGCATGGTTGTGTAGCTAAGTGCTGTGTGATTGACATTACTTTTTTTTAAAAAAATAATTTTTATTAATTTTCCAAACATGTAATAAAAACAAACAATAAAACAAAACAAAACATACAAACAAATAAACATGTATAATTTCCTAAACTTATTTTCCTTCACCTTATTTCCCGGACTTCCCCATACCTCCCTTTTTCTGCATCCTTATTTTTCCCTTTTAACAGCAACCCTTCATTTAATTAATTAACTCATCTTCATTATAATTTCCTTAAATTTATGATTTACAGCTGCAATTCTCTGTTTCTTAACACCATAACATCTCAGCACTCCTCAATGTTACAACAATTTTTAAGGTATATTTTAAATTTCTTCCAATCTTCTTCCACTGTCTCACTCCCCTGATCACAGATTCTGCCGGTCATCTCTGCCATTCCCATGTAGTCAATCACCTTCGCTTGCCATTCTTCCAGAGTGGGTAGCTGCTGCGTCTTCCAATACTTTGCCAGAAGAATTCTTGCTGCTGTGGTAGCATACATGAAAAAAGTTCTGTCCTTCCTTGGCACCAATTGGCCCACCATGCCCAGGAGAAAAGCCTCTGGTTTTTTAGAAAATGTCCATTTAAGGACCTTTTTAATTTCATTATAGATCATTTCCCAGTAGGCTTTAATCTTCGGGCAGGTCCACCAAAGGTGATAGAAAGTACCTTCAGTCTCATTACATTTCCAACATTTATTATTGGGCAAATGGTAAATTTTTGCAAGTTTGACTGGGGTCATGTACCACCTATAGATCATTTTCATTATGTTTTCTCTCAAAGCATTACAAGCCGTAAACCTAACACCAATATTCCATAACCTTTCCCAGTCATCAAACATAATGTCATGACCTATGTCTTGTGCCCATTTGATCATAGCTGATTTTACTGTTTCATCTTGCGTATTCCATTTCAGCAGCAAATTATACATTCTTGACAAGTTCTTAGTATTGGGTTCTAACAATTCTGTTTCTAATTTCGACCTCTCCATCTGAAAACCTATTTTCCTGTCCTGTTTGAATACCTCGTTTATCTGAAGGTAGTGCAACCAATCTCGTACTATAGACTTTAATTTGTCATAACTCTGTAATTTAACCCTTTCACCATCTTGCTCTAAGATTTCACAATATCTTGGCCATTAAGTTTTTTTGTCTCTTTAGCTTCCATTGGTGATAGCCACCTGGGAGTTTTACTTTGCAATAGATCTTTGTATCTTATCCAAACATTATATAGTGCTTTCCTGACAATATGGTTTTTGAAACCTTTATGTATTTTTACCTTGTCATACCATATATATGCATGCCAACCAAATCTATTGTCATACCCTTCCAGATCCAAAATGTCTGTGTTCTCAAGAAGCAGCCATTGTTTCAACCAGCAGAATGCTGCCGATTCATAATAAAGTCTCAGGTCCGGCAGGGCAAACCCCCCTCTATCTTTTGCATCAGTTAAGATCTTAAAGTTTATTCTGGGTTTTTTGCCCTGCCAGACAAACTTGGATATATCTTTTTGCCACCTCTTGAAACAGTCCATCTTGTCCAAGATCTGGAGTGTCTGGAATAAAAACAACATTCTAGGCAATACATTCATCTTAATAACAGCAATTCGACCTAACAAGGAAAGTTTCAACCTTGACCATGTTTCTAGATCTTTCTTCACTTCTGTCCAGCATTTATCATAATTGTCTTTAAATAAATTCACATTTTTAGAAGTCAAGTTCACACCCAGGTACTTCACCTTTTTTGTTATTACTAAACCTGTTTCACTCTGAAACTTCTCTTTTTCTGCCATTGTTAGATTTTTCTCCAACACTTTAGTTTTTTGTTTGTTCAGTTTAAATCCTGCTACTTGACCAAATATCTCAATTAGTTCTAATACTCTTTTGGTACTAGTATCTGGCTGTTGCAAAGTCAATACCAGGTCATCTGCAAATGCCCTTAGTTTGTAATTTCTGGCTCCGACCTGAACTCCTTTAACCAATTGGTCCCCTCTAATCATGTTTAACAAAACCTCCAGGACTGTTATAAAAAGTAAGGGGGATATTGGGCATCCCTGTCGTGTACCTTTTTCTATAGGTATTTCTTCCGTAACCACATTGTTCACAATCAACTTTGCTTTTTGCTTAGAATATATAGCACCTATACCATTTTCAAAACCTTGGCCTACCCCCATCCCTTGGAGATTCTTCTTCATAAAGGTCCAACAAATATTATCAAAGGCTTTCTCCGCATCCACAAAAATTAACACCACCTTTCTGTTAATGTTCACTTCCAAGAGTTCCAAAATGTCTATAATGTTCCTCACATTGTCCGACATATGTCTCCCTGGAAGAAAGCCTGTTTGGTCCTTGTGAATCTCCCCTATCAACACTCTCTTCAATCTTTTTGCTAAAATGTCTGCAAAAATTTTATAATCCACATTAAGTAATGATATAGGGCGGTAGTTTTTCACCTGGTTCTTTTCAGTCTCTGTTTTCGGTATAAGTGAAATAAAAGCTTCTTTCCACGATTCGGGTGCCTTTTTCCCTTCCAAAATTTCATTACAGACCTCCTTCAATGGTTGTATTATCCATTCCTTCAATGCCTTGTAGTATCTAGCCGTCAAGCCATCTGGTCCTGGAGATTTTCCCAATTGCATATTCTGAATGGCACCCTCTATTTCTTGTCCTGTTATTTTCTCATTCAGAATCATTTTACTTTGATCTGAGATCTTTGGTAATCCATACTTCTTAATAAATTCTTCTATTTCCTGCTCATTAACTGGCCCTTGTGCATATAGTTTCCTGAAGAAACTTTGAAAACAATTATTTATCTCATTTGGTTTGTGGATAATTTTTCCCTCCATTTCCAGACTTGTCACAGTATTCAATTTTTGTCTCTTTTTCAGTTGCCATGACAGAAGTTTCCCACATTTGTCTGCCGATTCAAATGTTCTTTGTCTCATTTGCTTTATTTTCCATTCTATCTCTTGATTCATCAATTCCATATATTGCGTCTGGTAGTACTTTATTTCTCTCAAAATCTCATGAGACTTTGGTTTAGACCTCAATTTCTTTTCACCTTCTTTTATCTTTTCCAAAAGTTTTTCTTTCCTCTCATTCTGCTTTTTCCTCTTTATGGAATTTTGTTGTATTAGGAAACCTCGCATCACGGCCTTGCTTGCGTCCCAAATTATTCTTTTCTCCACATCAGTTCTCAAATTTATCTCAAAATAGTCTTTCAGTGTTTTTTGGGCCTTCTTATAGATCTCTTCATCTCTGAATAGGGCGTCATTCATCCTCCATCTGAAGGTTCCAGTTGTTGTTAGTTTCATCTCCATCTTCACAGCGTTATGGTCGGAGCAAGTCTTTGGGCAGATTTCTACTTTTTTTATCTTTGGCGCCATGCTACTAGTTACCCAGATTTGGTCGATCCTTGTCCATGTCATTTTTGCTTCAGAGAAAAAGGTTCCCTCTCTCTCCAGAGGGTTCCTTACTCTCCAAATATCAATCAAGTCCAGTGTTTCAGTCATTTCGAAAAAAGTCTTTGGTAGTCTTCCATTCTTAGAAATTATTTGTCTCTGTGCCTTATCCATATTTGTAGAGACAACGCCATCCATGTCTCCCATCATTATAATTTTGTAGTCCAAGTAATCCATTAAAGTCTCATGCAACTTCTTGAAAAATTCCGCCTTCCCTTCATTTGGTGCATATATTCCCAATATCATAATTTTTTCTCCTTGAACTTGTACTTCTATTGCCAGGTATCTTCCTTGTTCATCTTTAAATATCATTTTAGGAATCAATTTTTCTTTTGCATAGATCACGACGCCTCTTTTTTTAACCTTGTCTGATGAGATAAATTCTTGTCCAAGTCTCTTGTTTGCAAGTAATTTCCTGTGTATCCTGGTCACATGCGTTTCTTGTAGACATATTATATCTAATTGCTCTCTCTTCAAAATATGGAAAACTTGGCGTCTTTTTCTGGGAAGGTTCAGGCCATTACAGTTCCAGCTGAGAAGTTGCAGAGACATTTTACTACTATGTACCTATTCCTCCAACTGCTCCAAGTTTTTGTTCCTCCTCCGATGGTGGTAAAAGTCCAAATGAAAGATTTGCAATATCTGTCGATTCTTTATCTGCTGTTGTTTCTACTACTCCTTTCTGCAAGTCCTCCTGGTATCTTTCCAAAAACTGTTCTTTATCTTGGACTGTTTTTATTTTGATCTTCCTTCCTGTGTAGTTAAAAGATAATCCTTGTGGGAACTCCCACCTGAAGAGTATGTTGTTTTTCTTCAGCAGGTAAACCAAATCTTTGTAAAAGGCTCTCACCTCCAAAATGTATTTAGGGATGTCTTTGAAGATCTGGACTTGGCTATTCTGAATTTCAAGAGCCTTATGGTAATGTAGATTTAATATTTTGTCTCTCTCTTCTTTGGATCTCAATGTAATCAAGCAATCCCTAGGCTTCTTGCCTTGCTTTCTGCCCAGCCGGAAGGCTGTTGTTATTTCAAGTTCTTCCTCCTGTAGCTCGTCCTGCCAAAACTCCAAAATGTTATCTGTGAGGAATTCCGCAAGATTGTCTTTCTCGCTCTCTGGAACCAATCTTAATTTCAAATTTTTCTCCTTTCTCTGGAGTTCCCATAAAGATAAGGTTGCATCATGTTCATTCACCTTTTTTGTGATTGGTGCAAGCTCCTTTTTTGTCTCATCTGCAATGTCTTTTGCACTTTGAGCAATCTTTCTTGTTTCAGAATTTTCTTGGATCAATTTATTTATAGATTCTGTATTAGAAGCTACACTTGCTGTGTTCAAGTCCAGTCTTGTTGTCAAATCATTCAATTTTTTTGAGTTCTCCGCTGACTGCTTTGTCAATGCTTCCAGAGACTGATTTATTTTAAGCAATGCATGTGTCATTGACTCCATAGATGCGGTTGCCACTTTTTCCTGTCCAGCTGGTATTATGCCTTGCATCGAGCCCCTTTTCTTCTGAGCTTGCTGGGTTTGTTTTGCTTTTGATCTAGTTGTTATCTCTTCTGGTTGGCCACTCATATCCTCAAGGTCAGTTCTCACAGGAAAGACTTGCAAGTGGAGAATTCCACTCTTTTCCTTTCACTGTAGCAAATTCTTTTTAAAACCTCTAGAGGGAGCATTAATTGTATCCAATTGGTAAAAATCAGAAAAGCATGAGGCAGAGAACAAAGAGATCAGAAACAAAGAGTCCAAAAGTCCACAGTTAAAGTTCTTGTTACACTTTCAGTATACTCAAACGTTCAACAAAATAACTCCATTAAAGTCTTATAACTTTGTTTCAGTCAAAACCCCAACTTTGTATCCAATTTAAATTGACAGTTCGCTTTCCCGGTGTCTTACTTCGGCAGCCCGTCCCAGGGTTTTGACAGTGAAAGATCTTTTTCTTCACTTTACTTCAAGCAGGTTTACAATGTCCAATTTTCCTTCCCCCCTTCTCCTGCTTACTGGGGGGAAGTTTAAGTCAGATGTCAGGTTTTGACAGCCTAAAAGTTAACCTTCATTTAAATGCAGCTTTGCTCTCTCGTTGCTTTGATTGCCATGCAGTCCGGGGAGGCAGACTTCCTTGCTTTATGCCTTTCCCGTTTTCAGCCAAATTTTCAAAATTTAATTTAAATGTCCCGTTTTATCCGTCAGTCTTACTCACGGGTTTTGAGGTCAAATTCCAGTTTCAGGAAGGAATCGGCGCTCTCCGTTCAATGGCGACGCGGCTTCACTCTGCGAGCTGGGTTGCGACTCTCAGCACCGCGCTCACACCCGATGCCGCTCCGGAGCCTTTAAAAAGGCTCTTTCGCAGTACCGGGGGGCGCAAAAGGTGCCCGCCGAGTCTCCTTGTTCACAGGTTTCAGCGCCTGTGATTTTAGGGGTCCCCCGCTCGCCGTAGCGGGTCAGACCCGAACTCGCGGAGCAATCCTGCCTCGGAGCTCGAGGCAAGGACCGCCATTAAACGCTGGCGCCGACCGGAAGTCTCCGTGATTGACATTACTTCGTACAAATTGAGTATGCTGGAAGAAAATCCATTCAGTGAACAAAAATTCTTCCCCCAGACTCCATCCTCTCACTTGAAATTTGGTATAATTTAAAGAGATTACAACTCTTCACACAAAGTGTTCCTAAATAGCCAATTTCTCACATGCACACAATCTAAATACAAAAACTACTCCTTTTAAAAACAGCTGAAGTTCAGTGTTACTTCAGTGTCAACTTCCATCTTAGTCCATTCAAAGCATATAACAAAAGCCTAATTTGACTTATTTGAACCTCAGACAGTGGTTGATATCAAACTCTCTTTTTTAAAAGTTGATGCAAATTATGGAAGAGAAGAAGAAGAGAAGAGGTTGAAAGCGTGCAAAAAGAGTTTGAGCAGGATTATGCTCTAGTGTCTAGTGATTTCAGTATTACACTGCAAGAAAATGCTCTTGCTACATCGGAAAGGCTATAGCTTTGCCTGCCTCCTCACATCCTTCCTCTCCCAGCAATCTAGTAACTTCTCTGTGCATATTTGCAAGGCTGTTATAATTAATCAGCAAATCTTCTCTATAAATGTGCCTAGTCCTTTTCAGGAAGTATCCAGTATTTGCTATTTGTACTAACCTGCAACCACATCCATGTCTATGTCTTTAATTATTTCCATTACAAAATGAGGCATAGCAATGACATTAGCTGTTGGAGCAATGCCTTACCTTTTATACTGGACTAGGTATTTTAGAATGTCTGCTTAACCATACTCTTCAGCTGTATTCCCATTTTGGTACGAGACTCCAAGCACCTGACTTTCTTCCAGGCTATCTAAAAATAAATAAAATTTATACTGATGGCAGGATGGGGAAAATTACTTCTGCTGTTAAGATTTTCCAAATCTTTCAACTTGCTGGCATTTCCCTTTGACTTTGTGTTGAACTCTAGAACCAGAAACACAGCTTAAATTTGAAAGTAAGAGTTCACCACCAGAGGGCACTGCCTGCTTTTTGAGGATAGAAGACTTTCCCTTGGAACCCAGTGGGCATAACTGAGGTTTCTGTGTGAAGCTTCAAGTTGGATTGAAATATAGAATGTCTTCCATTATGAAGCTGACTTTGTCAGATGTTTCACTCATGACGCTTAAAAATTCCGGGATGTGCAGTAAGACAAGCACAATACAGTGTCACACTTCAAAGCAAACTATATTTTAAATCGGTATTTGATTGATATTTGCAGTTAAAATGGTCACATAGCCGCTTCAGAATTCTCCCCCTCCCCAATCCATGCAGCTTCGAAGTTAGGTTCTAAAAAGGGGGCTGTGACCACCATGACAAGGCCTTACAGGCCATCACCGCTTTTGCCACTGCTGCAAGGCCTTGAAGGCTGCCACCACTACTGCCACCACCACCACAAGGCCTTGCAGGCTGCCTCTGCTTCTGCCCCCCCCCAACATTGTTGATTCTGTCATCCTCAGGCTGCTGCCGCTTGTGTCTCCTAGCAGGCCTGCTGGCAGTTTGACAGTCTCAGATTATTTGTATTCACTATGACTCATTGCCATACTTCGGGTTGTCCTGAATACCACCATTTGGTAACCAAGCCCAAAACCAAAAGTCCTGTTGGGATGCATTTTGGCTTTCCTGCTGTTGAAAGTCACCATGAGGTGATTGATAATATCATCAGTTATCAGTTTAAGACCTTTAAGTAGTAGCAGTTTCCATTTATATATCATGATGTTGATATATCACAATATTGAAAATATTAGGGATAGTGGGAGTTGTAGTCCAGCAACACCTGGAAGACCACAAGTTCCCCACCACACCCTTAAACAGTTTTGTTCCGGAAATAGTAATTTTACAGAAAGGCAGTTGCTAAACTAGCTTCTTCAAAATCCAGTTTTGAGTACATTGTGGAGAAGAAACACATACCATGCTGTGGCTTTGTAAAAGACATTTGCAATATGGAAGGAAGTAAACTATATGTCCTTCAGTTTCTTTTTGCTTAGAACATGCAATATGTTTTGTTGTACTTGAAGATTTAAGCTGGGGATCATTAACCCATGAGCAGGATTCAGCCCACTCAAACACAAGAATTGTCAGTTGCCACCCTAAAATGCCCATGAGACTTTTGACATTGTGGATAGCATGAAAAGGCATGAACTGTGGCCACAGGTCCAGAAGGCAGCAGCACAGCTAAGGAGTGGATTCTGGCAACATAACATAAATGATATGCTATAAATAGCTGTTTAAAACAAACTGTTTGCCTTTCAGTATAAGTCTTCCCGGAAGAGTTCAAGTGGCAATGAAAATGATGAGGTGAGTTAGCACTGTGATAAGAAGCCAACTACATAAGGAATTGGAACTTGTGCTGATCCAGTTGGCTGTAATATCAGCAGAAACCTTACTTTAGGCTCATGTACAAAACTTCTGAACCTCTGGGAAGCCGATGCTGCTTGTAAAGATGGAATTCATCCTGTCCAGTGTAGGGTACCTTGATGCTTTGTTTCCATGGTGTCTGTCAACATGAGCTTCTAAAGTGTTGAGGCTCAGTTCCTTGAACTTCGCATGGAGTTTAGGGTCTCCCCCACTTTTTTCCCTTATTGCTTCTCTCATTGTCACTGCCATCTCCACTAAGTGATTAACAGTGGCAGTGCATGCTGGTAATGTTAATTTTTTTAGGTGCTGCTCTGTATTAGGCGGCAAATGGGGCAAGGTGCACACTTTTCATTTCTAGAAGTTTTTATTTGAACCAGCTTTGTTGTTTTGAAAGGGGGTATTCTGGAATGCAGGGACCAGTGGGATCTTTGGTTTTCTCAAAACCTTGATTTAAAAAAAAATATTCTGTGACAAAGTGGTTTTAAAAGGGGGTAAAAAGGAGAGGAAAGCAAGGCAACCAAACACATGCGCTGCAGGAATTGTTTTGCTTCGGGTCTTTGACTGAAATGTTAACTCAAATTGGGCAAAATGTGATGAAATGGGAAAATGTGATGAACCCGGTCATTGCCTGAATGCAAAAGTGTCCAGGTCATAGTTTCTACTTAGAAGTTCACTGGCAGAATTCCTAGTGCAGCTGAATCGTGTGTGTGTGTGTGTGTGTCCCCCAACTCCCCTCTGTCTTTATACTGTTGAAGCTTCCCAAATAACACCTAGTTTTTAATCACTTAAGAAGTTTTTTCACCAGATATGCTGTGTTCTTCAACTTAAGGTGGTTGGTGGATGCCTCAGGGGCAAACTCCAGTGGAAATTTAGAAAGATTAAGAAAACAGATATCATTTTTTTAAAAAGCTCATACAAAAAAAGCTCATGCAGACTTCTATATCTGACCATTTCATGACGGTTAATAGCTTTAATGTAGATGCTGACCACACTCCCCAGTGAATACTAGGGCTTCCCATTGTTAGCTTTGTGCTTAGTTCTTTGCTTTCTCCAGCTGGCCATGGCATCCAATTTGAACTCTCCAGCAGGCAGTTTTCTGAGTTCAGCGCCATAAATGCAGTATTAAACATGGCACACTGTTCCGCTTGCAGAAGGACCAAGGTTCAGAAACTTCCCAAATCCTTCATTGTGAAACTGCTGAGCAGCCATGTCTTAGTTGTTGCTGTTATTTTGGTGTGCATACACATGTTTAATCATACATCTATGTGTAAGAATACTTGTATATCATACATGTTCATAATCATGCAATTTTTTATTTAAAAACATATCTTTCATTTTATAATTCCATCTTTTTGGTTTCTTTTTAGCAAGACAGTGATAATACTAATGTGTCCCCACAGTCTCCTGTGTCATCTGAGGTACAAGTGTGTTTGTGTCAGTGTGTTTTTCACTACCTGTTAACACCGCTGCATGGAACTTACATGAAATATGCCGTTCTTTGCTAAATTAGAGAATACTGTACAAAGACAGTTCTTTTGAAGAATTATCTGGAGTATATTATACAGTAGCTACAATGTATGTCAGAAAAACACAGAAAAGTAAGCTTCTAACTGCTTAAGGTATATCCCATTTTCATGACCAAAAAATAATAATTATTGAATGAATTATTGATGAATTCATGTTTTAAGTGTTGCTTGTGTTCCAAAGAAAAGACTCTCCTGTATAAGCCCAGTTCATTTCCAGCCAATGTTTGTTACGCATGCAGAGAAGAGAGAAAGGAGTGAGCAATCTTGGTGTAGCATCTCCCCAAATACAGTATTATAATCGAGCTAAATTAAAAAAAAATTAAAACATTTCCCCCTTTCAGTCAAGGAAGACTATGTACTTGCCACATGAAAACAATCTTCTGTGTGACTTTAGTTATGTTTTGGGGCCTTCTGACATCCCCCTTCTCCCCCCACCTCTAGGATTATGAAAGGGCCGATGGCAATTCTCATGGTCCTTTTGGACTGAAGCCCAGATCAGGTAGGCACCATTCCACACATACTGAACATCTAAGGGATGCATGGAAAATAGGTTATTTTGGAGGTGGCAAAAGGATAGAATTGCTGTGGGTTTCTTAGAAGCTGGGATATATAATCCATATATTTTCACATATGCTGAAATTGCATGAGAAGTCCTTCACAAACTGCTGTAGGAGAATCAAATAGTCACAATAGAAGGTGATTTTTCGGCAGAGAATCATACAGAGGTGGTTAGGGAGGATGTGAATAGTCATATGCAGATTGAACAAAACTAGCAAATGTTATTTGGTTGTATCTAGCTCAGTTGACCCATTAAAATTAGTTGCTGTGGCTTGATGTTCCTGAGTCTGCTTTTAAGCCTGACTTAGTTGGGCACCACCCTGAACCAAAGCAGACCCCCCCCCCCAAAAAAAAATATAGTCTGGGACCTCTGGATGAGTGAATGGGGGGGGGGCTAGATGTGAGTTGAGCCTTGGTGTTGCAGAGCCCTTGCTTTGCAATCTCCTCCTTCACTAGTAAAATGGCTCCCAGGCAGACATATTTCCAAGCCCCCACTGTGAGATCTTGGAGAGCTATTTTTGAAGTAGCTAGTCCTGGGCCAGATGGAGTAATGATCTCTCTTGGGACAAAGTAGTTTATATGCTTGTTTGAGCCCAAGTCAGAATCCATTTACACAACTGGAATTGTATATGCTTCACCACACTGTCAGCAATATGCTTGATTTCTGTTGATTTGCATAAATCCAGAGTGTTCTTCATCCAGGTATCCAACAGAAAGCTATTTTCTGATTTAAGTCATCAAGTGGTATAGGAACGTTTTACTGAGATTAGTTTTAATATCAGTGGCTTTTTGTCTTGCTGGTAGTGACTCTTGTGAACAGTGCAGTTAAGGAAATAAAACCTCCTCAGATTTTCCTCGTTCCATTTGCAGCTTTTGGCCGCTCTCGCCAGGACTACAGTGCCGCAGACCCTGGATTCACAATGAGGAGGAAAATGGAGCACTTAAGGGAAGAGAGAGAACAAATAAAGCAGCTGCGCAATGTAATTTTATTCTGTCTGAAATGAATTCCTTGGTTTGCAGAGTTAACGTTCCATGTCATTTGAATGTGTTTAGTTAAATAATACACACAGAAAATATGAAACCTGGCTTCTTTTAAAGTGGCCTTGAAATGAGCATTATCCTTATTGTACTCTCTTATTTTCCTAGAATCTAGAGTCGCGATTGAAGGTCAGTTTGCCAGATGACATTGGAGCAGCATTAATGGATGGGGTGGTTCTGTGCCATTTAGCCAATCATATAAGACCTCGATCTGTTGCCAGTATTCATGTCCCATCACCAGCTGTGGTGAGTAAACCATCTATTCTCAAAACAGACATGGCCATTCCCTTTTTTTACAGCCCTTCACAATGCATTTATGTAAGCCTCCTTATAACCTTGTGCGTTGAGATCAGTTGCTTTAAGTGATAATTTAAGACAGATGTTTTCAACCTTTTTGAGTCCATGGCTCCCTTGACCAACTACATTAGATAGATAGATTTATTGCGGCCATTGGCTGCTGCCGTCCCTGGTCTCTGAGTCGGTGCCCCCCAAAGAGAGGTGCCTCCCAGATTTTGCCTGCAGAGCTTATAGCCAGGGCTGCTGCAGTAAAAAGCTGTGCAAGCCTTTGGCAGGCAGAGACGCGAGAGGGCATCAGAGAAGGGAGGAAAGGAAAGAGGGACAGAGACCAGTGTTGCCCACAGCACCCCTGACCATCATTCAAGGTACTCCAGAGTGCTGCTGCACACTGGTTGAAGACCACTGTTTTAAGTGATCAGAGCTTCTGCTATTGTATATTTGTAATGTAAAGCTTCAAGTTCTTTGCAAAAATATGAATAATGACAGCTGTATCTCCCTCTTAACAGCCTAAACTCAGTATGGCAAAGTGCCGAAGAAATGTTGAAAACTTCCTTGATGCTTGCAAAAAACTAGGTGTCCCACAGGTAAAAATGCTGAAATGATTTTCTGATTGACCAACCAGATCAGCTTAGCTTTTGCTAGATCTTTTGGGAAAGGGATGTTGTCATCCCTTTTCCAAAATCTGCCTTCCCAGGACTCTGACCAGTGGTCCATATAGCTCAGTACTTACTTTACTGATTGGCAATGGCTCTCCAGGATTTCACACTGAAGTCTTCCAACCCTATCTGGAATTGCCAGGGGGTGAACCTGGCCACTGGTCATTTTGCCTGAGACTGATAGGAATTGGGAGTCCAGTATCATTTGGAGGGCCACAGGTTTCCCCATCTCACTTGAGCAAACCTCAGCAATAGTGTGGCTTTATAGGTTTGGGGGTGACGACCTGTTCAAATGATGAAGAATTTGCTGTTGATTAGTACAAGCTGGGAAAACTTATTAATAAAACAGACTCATGCAAGATACATTAGTCCAATGTTCCTCAAACGTGGGTCTCAGCTGTTGTTGGACTACAACTCCCATCATCCCTGACCACTGGTCCTGCAAGCTAGGGATGATGGGAGTTGTAGTTCAACAACTGCTGGGGGCAGGCCTTTCTTCAAAGTATGAACAATTGTGGGAGGGAGAGGAGGAATGTCTTTAACTTGTTCCAGTAGGAGGAAGGGCTGGAAGGGAAGCCTCCATGGGCTGTATCTGGGTGTGGACCAGAGGTTCCCAATCCCTGAGGAAGTAGGGACATTTGAGTAAATTGCTATTCTGGAAAGTTAGGATGTCTGTGTGGGCATTAACAGCAACAAACCATACTGAAAAGTCATTTTCTTTCCTAGGAAAGACTTTGCCTGCCCCATCACATTTTGGAAGAAAGGGGCCTTGTGAAAGTTGGAGTTACTGTTCAAGCTCTTCTTGAAATACCTTCATCTAAAGCATCACAGCTTTCCTGCCTGTAACAGGACACTCAGAGAACCAACTTGTTGCCATGATGTGTGTTGATGTGGATTGATTCCAGTTCAGCTTCCTTCAGAGGAACACCCTAAGCCATCAGAAGTGATTGCAGGCCAGATATTGTACAGGTGAAACTCGAAAAATTAGAATATTGTGGAAAAGTTCATTTGTTTCAGTAATTCAACTTAAAAGGTGAAACTAATATGAGATAGACTCATGACATGCAAAGTGAGATATGCCAAGCCTTTATTTGTTATAATTGTGATGATTATGGTGTACAGCTGATGAAAACCCCAAATTAACAATCTCAGAAATTAAATATTGTGAAAAGGTGCAGTAGCTATTCAATCCATAACACCTGCAATGAGTTCCTGAGCCTATAAATGGTCTCTCAGTCTGGTTCAGTAGGAAGCACAATCATGAGGAAGGCTGCTGACCTGACAATTGTGCAGAAAGCCATCACTGAGACCCTCCATAAGGAGGGGAGGTCTCAAAAGGTAATTGCAGAAGAAGTTGGATGTTCCCAAAGTGCTGTATTGAAGCATATTAATGGATAGTTATGTGGAAGGGAAAAGTGTGGAAGAAAAAGGTGCACAAGCAGCAGGGATGACCACAGCCTGGAGAGGACTGTCAGGAAAAGACCATTCAAACGTGTTGGGGACTTTCACAAGGAGTGGACTGAGGCTGGAGTTAGTGCATCAAGAGCCACCACACACAGACGGATCCTGGAGATGGGCTTCAAATGTCGTATTCCTCTTGTCAAGCCGCTCCTGAACAAGAAACAATGTCAAAAGCGTCTTACCTGGGCTAAAGAAAAAAAGAACTGGTCTGTTGCTCAGTGGTCTCAAGTCCTCTTTTCTGATGAGAACAACTTTTGCATCTCATTTGAAAACCAAGGACCCAGAGTCTGGAGGAAGAATGGGGAGGCACACAATGCCAGATGCTTGAAGTCCAGTGTGAAGTTTCCACAGTCTGTGTTGATTTGGGGAGCCCTGTAATCAGGTGGTGTTGGTCCACTGTGCTTCATTAAGTCCAGGGTCAACGCAGCCGTCTACCAGGAGATTTTGGAGCACTTCATGCTTCCTTCCACAGACGAGCTTTATGGGGATGCTGACTTCATTTTCCAGCAGGACTTGGCACCTGCCCACACTACCAAAAGTACCAAAACCTGGTTCAGTGCCCATGGGATTACTGTGCTTGATTGGCCAGCAAACTCGCCTGACCTGAACCCCATAGAGAATCTATGGGGCATTGCCAAGAGAAAGATGAGAGACATGAGACCGAGCAATGCAGAAGAGCTGAAGGCTGCTATTGAAGCATCCTGGTCTTCCATAACACCTCAGCAGTGCCACAGGCTGATAGCATCCATGCCACGCCGCATTGAGGCAGTAATTGATGCAAAAGGGGCCCAAACCAAGTACTGAGTACATATGCATGCTTCTGCTTCTCAGAGGTCCAATATTGCTCTATTTGCAATACTTGTTTTGCTGATTTTATTTAATATTCAAATTTTCTGAGATTGTTAATTTGGGGTTTTCATCAGCTGTATACCATAATCATCACAATTATAACAAATAAAGGCTTGACATTATCTCGCTTTGCATGTCATGAGTCTATCTCATATATTAGTTTCACCTTTTAAGTTGAATTACTGAAATAAATGAACTTTCCCACGATATTCTAATTTTTTGAGTTTCACCTGTAGACCGCGCCTTACTTTAAACATATGTTTATGTTAAACTGACAGTTTTCCAGTATGATAAAGAATTGTACTGCTTGCTTGCTTAATCCAGAGCCATAAGGGATTTTGAGATTATCAAAATCTCTTTTTCAACGTAGTACACATTCTGAGTTCTCTTATTAATATTTCATTATTTCTTTTTACTATTTTATGCTACACTGTGTTAGGCTGTCTCCTAGGTTTGCTGCACACGTTTTATAATGAACAAGAAACATAGAGCTTTGGAGATTTTTATATGGCAAAGAGTCCCAACCCGTTGCTGGTTCTTTGTCATGGATGCATTTTGAAAAATGTGCAATGCTGTCTTGCATATATTATGGTTTTAGTGTGTGCATTATGGGGCCACGCTAAAAATATAATATGCATAGCAGCTCTTAATCACATTTTCATTAAAAGAAGTCTAAAATTATTTTATGTACATTTTTTTCAACAACAACAACAACAAAAGAATCACTGCAGCATATGGTGTGAGAAATCTGGATGATAAATCATGTGATGCATTTTTTTCCAGTTTCCAGAAGATTGTGTCCCTAATTTCTTGCACTTCTTGCTGTTGTACCATCTCCCGTATTTTAGTTGGGCGGATGATGATGATGATGTTGATATTGATGATATTGATGATGATGGCAGAATAAGATACAGTATAAAGGACAAGTTTTATGTGGGTTTTTCAGTATTCTAGGTTGGTGCCAAAATATTTTTTTTCAGTTGTACTGTAGATTGTTTACATGTGAAGTGCCTGTGATAACTCTTTTACTAGTCTTAAACTTCTTTGCAATTTCTTTGTGTCTCAATAGATGCAATGTGTATTTTTGAATATTAGGTTTTTGTAAGATTGGTAACGTAAAGTTTAAAGGACTAACATCTGAGTGTTGGATGTTCTTCAGTTTGCACAGTTTGAATTTATTAGGTTTGGTTTTCTAAAGAAAAAAATTGTAAATATGCTTTTATTTATCCTATTTAATTTGATACTTAATAATTTTTTCAATGTATTGTTGGACAATGGATGCCACTTTCTTTAAATTATTTTCATTGTCTGACACTTAACAGTGACATATGGCGTGATTTAAATGGGAGTCGTACAGAAGCTTATGAGTTAAGGATGTTGAGGTAAAACTGCCAAATAAATAAATCTCAGGTTTATATTGTGACTTGTCAGGACTTTACATCTTGCTCCTGACTTCTGTTACTACGGAGTAGTGAAACTGAGCCCTAAAGAAGCTCTATTTTGCAATATTTACAAAAGCGTTGGGCAGCTGGCTGGTTCAGGGCATTGAGCTGTTCCCTCTGCACTGTGTGGTCAGTAATCCTAAAGCTGCAAATCAGGTTTGTTTGTTTGTTTGTTTGTTTGTTTGCTTGCTTGCTTGCTTGCTTGCTTGTGAGGGGCAAGGAGAGATTCCTGTTCCCCCATGTTATTTGCTGTTCTCCCTTTCCCTCTATTTCTGTTGTAACAAAAGTGTTGAGTTGGGGGAAAGAACAGCTGCTGGGCACAGGGTGAAAAGGAGGAAGGGGATTGCTACATCCTGGCAGCAGCAATGCATGGCCATGCATCATAAGGCAAGGTGGTAGCTCCTCTTTTCCTGTACACCCCCCTCACTACCCCTTTGTACTAGAGCCACAGTTCATGCAGCAGGTCCATTATGACACCACACACCCCGGCTAGTAAGAGATTGCACCTCTTATAATCAGTCCATCTGTATCTCTACTCCCCATCGTTTTAGAAGCTATTCTGTGCCCTGTTTACAGGCCTTGGAGACAAATCCATCAGTGCCACAATGGGTGTTTCCGTAACTTTCCCCCTTTTGCTCTACAGTGTGATGAGAATGGTAGAAATGAGACAAATTACCATGTCTTTGAAATTAACCTTTCATTTAATTACTTCACTGTACAGCGGAAGAGTCCCAACCCATTGCTGGTTCTTTGTCATGTATGGATTTTTGCGTCGAGTTGTGGACATAATCCGTCCTGGAGGCACGTCCGCAACTCAAAGCGTTCACATCCAGAAGCGCAGCGTTTGCGCACATGCACAGCACGATTTAGCACTTCTGCACATGCTCAAGTGGCAAAACCCAGAAGTAACTGTTCTGGTACTTCCGGGTTGCCACAGGACGCAACTTGAAAAGACATAACCTGAAGCAGACGCAACATTAGGTATGACTGTATACATTTATTTAATTAAATGGAAAAAGCCAGACTCTTTCCTCATTTTTGAGCTGTGTGTCTGCAATTTTCAAATAAACTAAATTCTTCTTCCTTGTCCAAATGATAAAACATATTTCTTTGTTCTTAACTCTCCACTACCCAAGGAACTCCCTGTTGGATTGCTGTTGGCTGCAGTACCACATAATAGTTACTGGGTTAAATTTGTAGTGTGGGGCAAAAGGGGTGCAGGGGGTCTTGAATGCTTTCACAACATATGTGCAAAGTGAACTTTGTGACTAGCTGCTTTTTCTTCCTCCAAGCGTGTGTTGTGAGCCTAAGGCAGGCCTTAGATGGCATCCTTGAGCCAAATAAAAAGCACACTAAACTGTTTCATGAAGCTTTTAAATAGAGCATGATTTGTTGTAGATTAGACCTTTCCTTTCACAGTTTTCCCCATAATTGTATTTTTAGTTAATGTTAGCTTTGAAAACCTTTTAAGGTTTAATTTCAGTCTGTTACAAGAAAGGAAAGATAAATATCATTTTTGTAGATTTTGTGAAATATAAAATCACCTTAGCACAGTTTAATAGAAAAAGCTGGTGTGATGTTGGGTGCAGTTGGATGCAGAATGAGCCCAGACCTCAAGATTTTTAGGCATTCCAGCATGCAGCACTCAAACACCACAATGTACAAAAGTGGATTCTGTTTTGAGATGTCACAGCTCACTCCTCCTCCTCCTATCCTTTCTCTTGTTCTTGAAAGTGTTTATTCTCTTTTGTTCTTCATTACAAATAAATAAAATCCAAGCCCTCGTCCTTCAGATGGTGATTTGTATACCCAGGCTGTAAGTCAAACAACTAGTGACATTCCTCTTGGTTTCAAAAATGGTTTGGTTTGAAGTGGGGGTAGGGGTGGGGGACGAGAGTTTCAGTCCCTGTATTAATGTGGAGTTTTGGGTCCTAGCCTAGAATATTAACCCCCTTTTCATAAGCAAACCAAGCAGTACATCTAAGCCCATTACTTTTGTGGAGCTCTAATTTCTCCAGGATTCTCATTTTGCTCATTTGCCAAAAATTGGCAAGCTGCAAAATTCTGCACGTTAAAGGTTCAGAGTGCACTGTGGTCTAGATAATAAGATAATGGTAGGTGTGGCCATTATTTTAAGAAGGACATTTTTACCATTTCCCCAATAAGAGCAAACCTCCTCGCTTCCAACATGCACAATTGTGCACTTCTGAACACAAAAACTTCCACTGACAGAATCTTTGAACAAGCACAGTCTTGAATTCATCTTTCACGTGACTGAATAAAA